AGTCATGTTGGCTACATAAACACAAACACACAGATGCCTATAGACCCGCACGCACTTAAACAGTTAGATGAGTGCCTGTGTTTTCTCTTTGGTTATCTTATCCAGTCTTTCACAGATGTGCGGACAGCTGTGCTCGATCCGTCTTCTTCTTCTTCCTCTTCCATCCTCCTCCATCCAGGCGTAGGCAGATTCTCTTTTTGTTTGGATAGATGGCAACACCACTGCTGCAAATAGGTCTGTGTCGCTCCCCGACTCCCCTCTCTCCCTCTGTTTTCTCAGTCATGTGGCCATCCACACAAAGCACTCATCCTCTTATTTATCGTCATGCCTTCCCTCTTTCCCTCCCTCCCTCATTGATCTTACTCACTGATATAGATGTGAGAGTCTTAATGGAGGCTTAATAGTAAAGGTAAGGAAATCCCAGAAAGTTGATTCTGTTGTGGACACAGTCGGGTTTTTTGCTTTTGGGTGGGGGGTACCACGAATCTCGGGATGTACCACAATTCATTGTTCATGTTAACTTCCTAGACAAACACATAAAGTTAACCAGGGAGGGACCAACACATACAGAGCAGTATTTAAGGTTTGACTCGTATCATCATCCACTGGAGGATAAACTGGGCGTCATCAGGAGGCTACAACACAGAGCGAACACCGTTCCTGCCAGACACAACAGCCAGGGAAGGAGGAGAACAACATATCAAAGAGGCCCTGAGTAAATGTGCTTATCCCAGCTGAGCGTTTAACAAAGCTGCGAAGAGGCCAAAAGAAAGCTCCGGGTGATTCAGAAGAGAAGAAGAACGAACGCTGCCCAAGCAAAAACCATTGGTGATCCTTTATGTGTCAGGAGTATCGGAACAGCTGAGATGCATTTGTTCAAACCCCAAAATGCTACAAAAACGGGTTCACCCGAAGGATCAGGTCCAACAGCATAAACTGGGCAATAAAGTGTTTGTGGTTCCTGGGAATTATATATCAGGGAAACCAAGGAACCTCTGACAAAGTGGATGGCACAAAATAGAAGAGCAACCTCATCAGGATAAGACGCTGCTCTGTATTTACACCTAATGGGCCTGTAAGTGTAAAAAGAAGGCTTGGTTCTTGGTTTGAATGAGGAGTCAAATAGTCCATTTACGTGAAAAGGGAATGACCATCGTTGAACCAAGGAGGGGATCTACAATGTGGTTACGGTTGGTGGTTGGTTTGTTGGTGGTTCGATCCCTGGCTGCTCCAGTCTGCATGCTGAACCTTGAGTGTCAATTTTAGAAAACGCTTAGACATGGAAGAAAACGCTTCTGTAAATGAGACATGGATAAAATGCCTTAATTTTTGAGTAGAAGACTCATTTCCCGCAGGCCTCCTTGTATATTGAGAATCAAGAACCTAAGCTTGTGACTTATTGTTAGGCAAAGGTTTTACTTTTAGTTTTAATGTCTTAATGGAACTGTGTACCGTTTATATGAGCTGGGACTGAAGGAGTCACTTGGTTGAGTGATGAAACTTTCTGGGAGATGTGAGTACCCTTTGCCTTGATCCATCTCTCACCTTTCCCCTCTTCATCCGCCTTTTTCCTCATTTGGTGCTAATATGGACCCACCTGGATTCCTCCGCCCATGCCTTTCATCTATTTAACTCTTCCACTTTCATGCTCATACACAACAAATGTGGAAGCTAGAGTCCCACTTATTCCTGGGTAATTCCTTCACTTGGAGCTTTTTGCTTGTTACGGATGTCAAACGAGTCTTAGTGTTTTGGGTAATGATCTCTGACTGTAGGCTATATCAAAGATGGATGTAACTGCTGTGATGTCACCTACTGCTTTGTGAAACCTTGAGTTGAGCTGGAGTTTAGGATAAGCTATTACTAAAGTTAACTGCACATTAAAACAGATATTTGGTGTTGTCCACGTGTGCACGTGTATTTTGGTAAACTCAGCTTTTCATTTGCATCTTGGCAAATGAGATGAGCTACTCACCATTGGTGTCTCAGCTGCAAATAGCCAGATATGATGGCGAGTCTGACTGAAACCACTGTGTGCAGTTTCACACCACAGATAATCCTCCATTTTGAAACATAGTATCACCGAGATTTCTAAAAAAAATTTCTGCAATGATTCCAAACGAGTGCGCTCATGAACTCTGCAGGAAAATATTGTGGAGGTCAGAACAGAAAGCCATTATCGCATAGACTTTTATAGGACGTCTTTGCGCACCCACAGGTATCGCCATCTGGTGGTTTTCAGACAGAATGCAGGTTTTTAGCATTGGCGTTTTTCCGACCCCAAAGCTACGTCCGTGTTTTCCGCTGTCTACTGTCTACTGAACATGTGATTCCACGAGGATCCGCTCACTTCTGGAGTCAGCCTTTAATTTAGGGAACTGCAGTTTCAGCCCCAAAGCATGTTCCTTGGTAATGATACTGCTTTGTAAGTAACACTCATGCATGCATGAAAAAGAGCATTTTTCTGATAAAGATCCAGTTTGACTCTTCACACTTACTCTCCTGCAGAGTGGCCGTTTTATGGAATTATCTTGTACCAGTCCTGAAAACTCTCCTCTCCAGCACACACTAAAACCCCAAACACAACATTCCCCACCTTCTCCGTCGTTTCCTGTTATCATCTTTCCTCGGATGTGTAATGAAAAAGGAGGGGTTATGCTGTCAACTGTAATAGCAGCATTTGGCCTTCAGTCTTGGCGGATGCACTCATTTGTGTGTGTGTGTGTGTGTGTGTGTGTGTGTGTGTGTGTGTGTGTGTGTGTGTGTGTGTGTGTGTGTGTGTGTGTGCGCGAGCATGTGATGATTAGGAGCCCTAAGATAAACGCCCCGTACTCCATCCCTATTTCCCAATCTTTGTCAGTCCATTTCCTGGAGATGCTCTCTCAGAAAAAAACACACAAATACCAAAAGCCAATTTTTCTTAAGCTCTATAACTCTGCCTTTCATTTTATCTTCCATACTTTATCGCTTTTTCTCCATCGCAGCTGTCCGCGAGAGAGGAAACTTTCCCCCTCTCTCTTTATCTCTCTCAGCACCTACCACTCACTTTTAGACACAGTATCCCCCCCTTCCCCTCAAGTCTGAATGGTCTTAAACTGACTACTTTTGTGCCCTCTGGCCACATCTGCCCGTCTCGTCTACAGGCAGCCCCCATCTGAACCCCACCTGATCCACGTCCCGCCTCTCCCTTCCTACCCACTTTCCCTCAAAGTAGAATTTAGTCCCCTCAGTCTCATTTCCTCCCCCCGCTATCTCAATTTCTCTATTTTCACTCATGTATTTTGCGTTCCCTCCCTCTCCTGCCTTCTGATCCTTCCCTGCTATACTTTCGGCACTCCGTTGTCTCAGCCCATTAGGCAGACACAAATCCGTTCGGGGACACTGAGCCTTGGTGCGACCTCGTCCCTCCTGACTCCCCCAGACCTCAGCGCAGCCAGGAGGAAGCTCTCAGGGGAGGCAGTCTCTGGCTTGCAGTTGGGGGAAATCCATTTAATCCTTCTCCACAAAACGCTGCTCTTTTTCCACCGCGTGGTGCACTTAGGGCCACGTGCACTTAATTAACAACACCGCTGCTGCACACACACACAAACATGTTCACACGGGCCCATTCCTTCTTTCTCGTGGATTTTCTTCAGCCTGTGTTTTTGCATTCGGTGAAGCACAAATAGAAATTTTAATATTTAACACAGTTGGATGACGATTGGAGTTCTTGAAATGATTTATACAGTTTTGTTTTCTTTAAAAAAAAATGTGATTAGCAGGTCTGGGTGTGGGGGTGCGTGTCTGTACGAGGACTGAACTGTGAGCATAGATGTGTCCGCCAAGCAGCAGTGTCTGCAATTGGAGTGGAGCAATTGGAGTCTGCCACTTCGCTCCTTAGAGCTCTAATGAGAAGGAACAGAGAGAAGAGTTTCAGTGGTGGCCGCTGGCCTCGGCGTGTCACTGCAGCTCACATCTCTGCTGGCGCAACGACCTGTTGCCACCAAGAGGGTACGCGGACAAACTAGAGGATGACTACATGAAGACGTGGATGGCAGAGATAAGACTGAGACACCAGGTTTCACTCTCCGTCATAGATCTATACTTTTTTCCTTAACTGTGTGTGTGTGTTTTTCCCAGCCAGCACCAAATGAATGAGCTGATTTTGAGAAGCGGAGTCCAAATCCAGATCCCAGGCGGACACAGATAAAGCAGCAGCAGATTGTTTTATCCCATTAGGCAGGGCGTAGTAAATAGGCAGAGATCTAGCTCTCTATTCTGGTGCAATCTCCAGCTGATCCTGTCACTGGCATCAGCTCTGTTGGCACTTTGTCTTTCAAGTGAGACACCCCAGCTTAGCATTGCTGTCTGTCTGTCTGTCTGTCTGTCTGCATGTCTGCAAACAGGAACAGGAAGGTGGTGGAGGAAGAGTCAAGAAGCCCTCTGTTACAGTCAAGCTATGCTTTCTCTGTTTTATTGAGGCTTCATTATAACATAAAATTACACGAAAGTGCTTTGTGTCATTTTTAAGTCATACTTGCACACATGAATAGTGCAGAACCACAGTTTTTTTACTCTTACTGCCAAATACAAACTCACCTATTTGATAGCAGACGTTTAAGGCCAGGGTTGCTTTCCATCACCTAGGCTACGTCTGGAGACTTTAAATCCATATTTTGTTGATTGGAACACGTAATCAATCCGTGACAAGATTTCACGGGGGGAAAGCAGTGGGAACAGCGTGATTGACAGCAGCCAATCGGAAATGAAACGCAGCTGAGATTTAAGGTTAGAGTGAGGACTGGCCTTGTGAGAAGCAAAAACAGCGTTACCTTCTCCTCCAGCGTGCCAGTTTGATAAGTTGTCTGTGCCAGTCACCCAATAACAAGACAAGAATTGGAGGTGTACATGTGGTTTGGCATAATTGGATATTTTGTATTTTAATATTAAGACACAGCCTACACATAAATGGTGCTAATTCCTTTTTACAAAAGCTGTCCTCTTGTGTGGAAGTGACCTACCTTGGCAGCCATGATCATGGAGGAGCCTCCGCGTACTCCGAGAATGGGGATATGCGTCTGGGCTGAAATGAAGTCCAGGATCTGGGCGATGGCCTCCTGGTCAGTGTCATCCCCAAACACCACGCCCTGTAGCCAGTGCTCCGTCATGAGGTCGCAGATGCTCTTGATAATGCTCTTAGGGTCAGTCTCATTCATGGTCAGCACTTCAACATTCGGCGCCATGTGAATGAAGTCTTCCTTCTCTCGGGCCCCGGCCAGCGCCACTTCACTGGAGTTGCCCACCAGAACGACAGCGATGCTGAAGACGTGCAAGATGTTGGGCAGGGCCATGTGGTGGGGAGGAGGCTGAGGGATGGGAATATAGTGGCTGCCACCGCCTCCTCCGCCGGGCTTGTCTCTCCGTGAGTGGCAGGCCGGGGGCAGGTGGAGAAGGCAGAGGAGCAGGAGAAGGAGGGACAGGCAGAGAGACGAACCGGTGCGGTGGTGGTGGAACGGCGGCGGGGGTGGATGTAGGGTTCGGACCCGTTCTTGCTCCTGAGCAACCGAGGGGGTGCCAGAGCAAGCCCTGGCATGGCCGCAAGGTGGGGAGCAGCCGCGGCATCCGCAGACAGGCATGGTGTAGGAGTGGGAGAGCAATACCTGCCGAGACAAGGAGGAGAAGAAGATGGAGATAGGAAAGAGAAGAAAAGGAGGTAGGCAGAGATTTGACAAAACAAGATGACAGAGAAGAAGGAAAGAGAAAAAAAGAAGCGGGAGATGAAGAGAAACAGAGGTTAACAAATGAACTGCCAATCAGGGCTGGATGCATCATATGAATCAAAGCATAATTTAATGTCAGTTCAAAGAAATGGGACAAAGAAGGAAGAGAAATATCAAGACAAAGCAAACTTTAAAAGGAAAATAGAGATAAGAGATGAGGTCAAATTTCTGGTATGGATACACAGATCTGATATTTGGATCAGAAATTGGACTGACAGCGATTCGAAAAGCTACATTTCTGCCTTCAGTTCATGCAGTGTTTACTCCACCCATCATCACTTCACCGACTAGTAGGGACGCTAACACTGCTTCAGTAACACTGATAGTGTTCCCCTGTGTGCTTTTCTATCCGGGTATGATTGTAGTACACTGGCAGCGTGTTTGTGGTCATTGCCATGCTGAAAACGAAGCTGCTGTCAATAAGATGCTTTCTCATGATTGTTCTCATGACTCATAGGTCAGTTTTCAAAATGCTTCTGAAAATGGTTAAGTACAAGGACTGAAAGAAACACTTTCAGAAAGTCTGGAGAACTACTGTGCATGACCACTTTAGAAATTATAACAAAGCCTGGCTACTTGGAACCAACATGCAAAGAAATAAGGGATGGCTCAAGACAAGGAACTAAATCATTGCTTCCTTCACTTCACCTGTGAGTAGTCGGATCTATTTTGTGTGTGCGGAAGTAAACAAACGCTGATTGCAGAGAAAAGAGGAACCGCTGCAGCAGTAAATGGGAGCAAAGCAAAAACCTGAGTTGGAGCGAAAGGAGTGCAAATGAAAAAAGGCGAATAAGCCAAATACAGTTTTTGATTCGAGGTGTTTTTCATGTATTGTTTTACTAATAAAATCAGTAAATATATTCTTGGATGTAATAATTTTGTTTTACAACGCTGCGTAATATCAGCGAAGATCCAAACTGTTGGTCATTTTATATTTCATCTTAAACATAAAGCATTGCTTTAGCTGCGCCTCCTCTCACACACCCACAGCGCTGGTTGCTGTCGTCATGATATAGCTTTGTTATATTTCTTTTAATGAATATCTAGCTAAAAAAAATAGATGATATTGATTAATATTCCAGTATCAACACTAACAGAGACACACGCGACATAATGGAGCACAGTTCAGAGTTTTCAAGTATAATCTTACAAGCATCAATTATTCATGTGGACTCCTGAAGCAGCACTATAGTATAAGGATGATATAAACTCTCCCTCCAGATGAGACGGCTGAGAGTGCAGCAGAGGAAGGAGGGACGAACAGAGCGAGCGAACTCAAAAACCATAAAGGGCTGGATGGAGGGAGAGACGGCTCCTCGCCAACTTCAGCTGACTGACTAACTGTCTGGAGCGAGATGACTGACACGCCGACCTGAGACGAGGACAAACCGACTAACGCCGGAATTGATTAAGGGATTGACGGCAAAGGTGCTCGGAGCAGCTCGCGAGGCTTTGATATGATACCCGCCCACCTCACTCAACCCCTATTGGCCTAGTTTAAGCACTTTCACTCGTCTGCTGTCCGTCCCTCCATCCTTTCACCTCCCTCCCACGTTCTACTTGACCGTATCTCTCTCTCTCTTGCCTGCTGTCTGATTCCCTCTTCCCTGCGCATTATTTATAGAGCTTTTCATTAACGAAGATGCAGAGGGGCCAGGTGAGCGACCGAAGGAAAGGAAAAGAGAGAAATCAGCGAGATCCAGAAATGATTCGAGGAGAGGTGAAAAAGACAGCTGGAGCGATGACGCTGGACATGAAAAAGAAGATGTCTGTGTTCTCTACGTGTTTACATCTGAGTGAGTGGGAGGGCATGCGTCCTCTTGAGCTTATCAGCATATAGCTGGTGTAGGTGTAACAGTCGGAGGGAATAGATGTTCACTTTGGTTTCGTGGGCAGACATACCCAGGGCGATGGGGGTGTAGCTTCTCATAAACTTGCTTCTGAGCGGTGTATTGTGCGCGTCTCTTGTACATGACTGCCGCTAACGAGGCAGATGGAAGGTACAAAGAAGAACAAAAAACGCTAAAACAAAGCGACGCTGACAGCTAGTAAGACAGGAAATGACAGAGAGGAAGGACGAGATTGAAAGAGGGATAAAGGGACGGGCGCAGAGATGACAGAACAACTTCTTTAGCCGAGACTAATTGCTGGAGGTTCGTCAGCGCTAATTACAGGTCCCTGTGTTAATAGTCAACTGCACACCACTCTCCAGGAAGGACCCGAGAAGCGGGAGGGATGGATCGAGGGAGGGCTGATAAGAGGCATGAGGAAAGAAAAAAGGAGAGGAGGAGGGCGGGCAAAGGAAACGAAAAGAGAGGCAAACTGAGGAGGACCTCAGTGAGAGGCATAAAAGATTTTTTTTAAAAAGGAGAAAAAAAAGAGGAGCAGGAGAGAGGGGGAGAGATTAGAGAGCGGGATGGAGGAGAAGAGGAGAAACAAGAGGAAAAAGACAAGCAGAGAGGGAGCAAGAGAGAGAGAGATGCCCTCTTTGAATCTGGACTTCTCTGGCAGCACTCTGTTTCCATGGCAACAATTAAAATAAGCCTTCATGCGCACAGACACAGTTGATGGACACAGAGATACACACACGCACACTCACACATTTTGTAATAAGCATTGATCATATAAGTGCAGCAGAAGTCCAGAGCACTGCTGCGCGTCCTTAAAGTGGGTGTAGTTCACACACCAACTTATTACCATTAACATGGAGACCTTTGATACAGCCGGCATGTGAACAAACACACACACACACACACACATACAATTACTTTTTTTTATAATGTTCCTCTCCCTTTCTCTCCGCATCACATATATATTACCCTGCAGCCACACACACACACACACACACACACCCCCCTGGGGTACAGATTATATTAGCCAACGCGCCGTGTAACTCCAACGATCACTCAGAAAGATGAGGCCATTAAAAAGTGCCACAGCGAGCCCAAGCTCACAAAGAAACACAAAATGAAACTGTAGATTACACGGACGAGGCTCCGCCACCAAATGACCCCAATTCGCCGTCGCCCGGCCCTCACATCTCACCCATCATTTGCTCCATTAGCCACACGAGTGCACATCGCTGCCATATCAGTTACACACGGATGGATCGTGGATAGCCTCCACCAGCTCAAGGCCATATAGGTTCCACCCCACTCCGACCCCAACCACACACACACACACAAAGGGAGGAACAGTTTTAGAGGGGAACCACCTATAAACACTCATCTTTCTTTGCAAATGAATACCTATCTGTCCTATCTCCTATATGTGAGTGTTGGACCAAAACTTCAGGGACACCACACGTTTATACAGGAGTAACTTTAAGTGTTTAAGTGTGCCCTCCTTCTTTGGCTCTAATGAGAACTTAATTTACAAAATGGACATCATGTTTTATTCAATAAGATGTGAAACTAGCATTAGAGACCATAAACCCATTTCAAATAGTGAGATGAGGTTGTAGATCAAGGAAGCTAAAGGATCATTTTCTCACAGACTTTTATGTAATTGGTCTTTTTGCAATCATTACCGGCTGATCATTACAAAGAATGCAGACTTAAGGAGCTCCTGTTTGGGCTTTACACCATGTTCATCATCTTATATATACATTTATGGTGGGCACTTATGCCGTTCATCATACAGCAGCATAAACACACATATACTTTATTTTGTGTGTGTGCAGGTCAAGATGCTGAGGAGCCAAATATCTTCTGAGTATGCTGGAGCCCATTAACCGATTAATGGGTTAATTAACAGGAAATATATCAGCCTCTTTTATGATACTAAATTAAACTGTTATGGAAATTTTAAAATAGCCAAAGCTTAAAATAAGGTCCAGCAAATTTGCCTCTTAGGGACTATATAAAAGCAAACCATCCACTATCCTAATGACTGGAGTTGCAATGCTGGTGTAATTTGCACAACATATTCTTATAGAGTATGAATCTATGTTTACGGTAAAATGCACAGGATCAAGGACAGGACATTTCTTATAGTCACTATTGCCTCAATCTCCATTGCTGTAATGCCACAAGACATTAGGGGCCTAGAGAACAGTTATAACAGTTCTTACGGTAAATGTTCAATCACTGATCGGTTCCTGGAGTTTGCTGGCTGCCCTCACAAAGAGGCTGCTGTTTTTCAGATCTGGTTTGGAACTATGGATGAATGTTAGCCTGTTGCTAACTCAGGCACATGCACAGCAATATTTATTAACTCTTTTTTACCACTGGTATGTCAGGAGGCCCATTTTACAAGCACTCTTTAGATGACTGTAACTCTGTTACAGTTTGTGCTAGAGACAAAATCCAAATGGTTTCGGAAAGAAGGGAAGACAAGCTTTACAGGGATGTATCACAGCAGCATAAGACACTCCCACTGTCTGAAAGAATTAGCCTGAACACAAACAGAAAAATAGATTTCACCATGTGTGCTTCACATTACCATCATTCCTCAAACATTTTGGGATAGAGAGAAAATTCAAAAGGCTCCTGAAATTATAATATAGGTCCAGGCAGCCTGTTTGATCCTTGGATGATGATGGGTTAATGTGCACTGTCCCTGTTAAAAATAAAAAATAAAAAAACAATCAAATAAAATCAACCAGTTAGGGAATACACATTTTTCCCCAAGTGATTTGGTGTTGCCAGGGCGCCACTGACCGGTCTCTAGGAATGTGTGACTGGGGCCTCACTCAATTAGGCAGGAGGACACTGTTTCCAGTAGTTATGCATCCCAACCAAAAAAGCCTGCTGTTACTAAGTGTGCCCAAATGGCCAATAAACCAGGAAGAGTAGGCCAACACTCTGTGCAGTCTGCAGGTTATGCAGACTGCACAGAGTGTGATGATGAGGACCCAAAACGCAGACACAGAAAGCAGG